GGGTTTGCTGCTGCTGGGGTTGGTGGGGGTGGTGGGGTTGGTGGTGGGGGCGCTGCTGTTGGGGGTGCTGCTGGTGCTGCTGTTGGTGGCGCTGTGGGCGCTGCTGGGCTGGGGGATGCTGCTGTTGGTGCTGCTGGCTGGGGGCCGCTGCTGCTGCTGCTGCTGCTGTTGCTGCTGCTGCTGTTGCTGCTGTTGCTGCTGCTGCCGTTGCTGCCGCGTGTGCCACTGCTGCTTGGCGGCGTCTGCAGCACTTGCTGCGGCAGCTGGCATGCCCGCTGCCGGCAATCCTTACTTCCACTCAGCGCTCTCTGCTGCTGCTGCTGCTGTTGCTGCTGTTGCTGCTGCTGCTGCTGCTTAGGTTTAATATGTCGGTTAATAAAGGCGGGGCGCATTGCGGGCCGCGCTGTGCTGCTGGCGGGACAGCCAGGGACGGGAAAGACTGCCATAGCGATGGCGATAGCAAAGGAGCTGGGCCCTGTAAGGGTTTAGGGTTTAGGGTTTAGGGTTTAGGGTTTAGGGTTTGCTTTCGGAAGTAGGGTTCGGGAAGAGAGCGCCGCGCAGTTGGCCCGCAGGCGCTCGTGGCGGCGAGGGTTTAGGGTTTAGGGTTTGGGTGTTTGTTCGTGGGCCTGCGCCTTCGGGGCGAGCCGCCTAGGGTTTAGGGTTTAGGGTTTAGGGTTTAGGGTTTAGGGTTTAGGGTTTGGCGCTTGCAGGACACGCCCTTCACGCACTTGTCGGGCTCTGAAATCTTCAGTTTGGAAATGTGCAAAACAGAAGCTTTGACTCAGGCCTTTCGGCGCTCCATAGCAGTTCGAATTAAAGAAGAGGCAGAGATCATCGAAGGAGGCCAGCCAAACCCTAAACCCTAAACCCTAAACCCTAAACCCTAAACCCTCAGCAGCAGGCGCTGGGCGGAGAAGCCCTGCCGACAGTGCGGGCGGCTTTCGCCGCCCCGCGAGAAGCCCCCTTGTTCTGTGGCCCAGGGATCAGGGTTTAGGGTTTAGGGTTTAGGGTTTGGGGTTTAGGGTTTAGGGTTTAGGGTTTAGGGTTTGGGGTTTGTGCGCAGAAGTGGTGGAAATTGAAATTGACCAGCCCACCGGCAGCGGAGCAGCAAGGACAGGCCGCATGTCTCTCAAGACTACAGAAATGGAAACTCTCTATGACTTGGGCTCCAAGCTTATAGGTCTGTTCTCCAGCTAGCTAGCTAGCTGGCTAGCTAGCTAGCTGGCTAGCTAGCTAGCTGGCGAGCTAGCGAGCCAAACAGCTAGCTAACTGGCCAGCGTACCTAGCGAGCTGGTCATCTAGCTAGCCAGCTAGCTAGCTAAACAGCTAGCTGAGTAGCCAGAATACCAAGCTAGTTTGCCAGCTAGCTAGCTGGACGGCTAGCTAGCCAAGCGGCTAGCTAGCTAGCTAGCTAGCCAGCTAGCTAGCTGAGCAGCAGGCTAACTAGCCAGCCTGGCTACCTAGCTAGCCAGCTAGCTAACTAGCTAGCTAGCTAGCTAGCCAGCTAGCTAGCTACTGCACTGTCTAGTGTTTAGTACCAGGAAGTGGCGAAGAGCCCGGCCTGTGTGCCCCGCCGCGCTGCAGGGTTTAAAAGTGCCTCCGGCCTAGGGCCCAGGGCTTAGGGTTTAGGGTTTAGGGTTTAGGGTTTAGGGTTTAGGGTTTTGCAGACGCCTTAACAAAAGAAGGAGTGACTGCGGGAGATGTCATTTCTATTGACAAGGCCAGCGGCAAAGTTTCGAAAATTGGTCGAGGGTTTGCGCGGGCAAAGGACTTCGACGCTGTGGGGCCCACCACCCGCTTTGTCCAGGTCCGAAACCCTAAACCCTAAACCCTAAACCCTAAACCCTAAACCCTAGGTCTCCTCGGGGCAGGCTAGCTGGCACAAGCAAGGGCTGGGGGCGGAGGAGGCTCAGATCGACGCAGCCATTTCCCTTGTGCCCCGTCCTAAACCCCAACCCCTAAACCCCAACCCCAAAACCCCAAACCCTAAACCCTAAACCCTAAACCCTAGCTTCGCCTTTTTGCCTCTGCAGTGCCCCGAGGGCGAACTCCAAAAGAGGAAAGAAGTTGTCCACACCGTCACTCTGCACGAAATTGATGTTATCAACAGCAGGTAAACAAATGCCCTCCCCAAAAAAGCCCCACGGGGGCCCCCGTGGGGCCCCCCAGGGGCCCCCAGGGGGCCCCCCGGGGGCCCCTGTGGGGCCCCTGTGGGGCCCTTTTGGGGGTTGCAGCCCCCTTAGAGGCCCCTAAGGGGCCCCCTTAGGGGCCCCCTGAGCTGGGTAGTTGCAGGGTAGCGCATTAGCTGCTGCTGCTGCTGCTGCTTGGGGCACTGGCTAGCACTGCCTGGGCTGTTAGCTCTTTCGCTGCTGCTGCTGCTGCTGCTGCTGCTGCTGCTGCTGCTGCTGCTGCTGCTGCTGCTGCTGCTGCTTGTGGCTGCTCAGGGCGCAGGGCTTTCTGGCTTTGTTTGCGGGAGACACGGGAGAAATAAAAGGAGAAGTTCGAGAACAAATTGACGCCAAAGTCGCCGAGTGGAGGGAAGAGGGAAAAGCCGAAATCATACCCGTGCGCTGGCCCTAGGGTTTAGGGTTTAGGGTTTAGGGTTTAGGGTTTAGGGTTTAGGGTTTGGGATTTAGCAGGGCTGAGGGTTCAGGCTCTAGGGCTGCTGAGCTGGAAAATGAGGGCTGAGGGTTGGGCTTTTAAAGCTTGGGGTTTAGGGTTTAGGGTTTAGGGTTTAGGGTTTAGGGTTTGCGTGTTGCTGTGTGGATTTAGGGCGTTTTGTTTATCGACGAAGTCCACATGCTGGACATCGAGTGCTTCTCCTTCCTCAACAGGTAACCTTGCCGCTGCTGCTGCTAGCTGCTGCTGCTGCTGCTGCTGTGCTGCTGCTGTTGCTGCTGCTGCATTGCTGCTGGCTGCTGTCTTCGCGCTGCCGCGTGCCGCCCATGCCCTCTGCGAGCTGCGGGGCGGCTAAAGAAGCAGCTGCTGCTGCAGCTGCCTCTCCCCGCACCGCAGCAGCAGCAGCAGCAGCAGCAGCAGCAGGAGTTGCTGCTGCTGCTGCCTCGCAGGGCCTTGGAAAGCGAAGCAGCCCCCGTGGTGGTGATGGCCACCAACAGAGGCATCACCACCATTCGAGGCACTGACTACAAATCTCCCCACGGAGTCCCGCTGGACCTTCTCGACAGGACTCTCATCATCGCCACAGAGCCCTACTCTGAGCACGAAATGATGAAGGTGCAGCAGCAGCAGCAGCAGCAGCAGCAGCAGCAGCAGCAGCAGCAGCAGCAGCAGCAGCAGCGCAGGAGTGGCAGGAGTGGCAGGAGTAGTGGCAGCAGTAGCAGCAGCAGGTGCAGCAGAAGCAGCAGCAGCAGCGCAGGAGTAGCAGGAGTTGCAGGAGTAGCGGCAGCAGTGGTAGCAGCAGGTGCAGCAGCAGGTGCAGCAGAAGCAGCAGCAGCAGCGCGGGAGTAGCAGGAGTAGCGGCAGCAGTAGTAGCAGCAGGTGCAGCAGCAGCAGCAGGTGCAGCAGCAGCAGCCAGTGTAGCAGCAGCGGAAGCCGGAGTATCCATAGCTTGAGTAGAAGCAGCAGCAGCAGGCGCAGCTGCAGCTGCAGCAGCAGCAGCAGCAGCAGCAGCCGCCGCCGCAGCGGGCCTTGTTTGCATCCATAAGTGCACGCGCTGTGGGGGCTCTTCGCCCGTGCACTGCGCAAGCCGCAAAGGCCTAGGGTTTAGGGTTTAGGGTTTAGGGTTTAGGGTTTAGGGTTTAGGGTTTAGGGTTTTGCAGATAATCGAGCTGCGGGCGGAAGAGGAAGACGTGGAGCTGGAGGCGGAGGCGCAGCAGCTGCTGTGCCGCGTGGGGCTGGAAAGCTCTTTGCGCTACGCGCTGCACTTAATAACAGTGGCGAGTTTGGTGGCGAAGAGAAAAAAGAAAACTTCTGTTGGACTTGAAGAAGTCCGCAAGGTCTACAGCCTCTTCCTCGACGTCAAACGCAGCACCCAGTACCTCGTGGTCAGCAGCAGCAGCAGCAGCAGCAGCAGCAGCAGCAGCAGCAGCGGCAGCGGCAGGTGTAGCGCAGCAGCAGCTGCAACGGGAGCGGGTGTCGCAGCAGCAGCAGGTCTAGAGCAGCAGCAGCAGCAAGTGTAGCAGCAGCGGGAGTAGCAGCAGCAGCAGCAGTAGCAGGTGTAGCAGCAGGTGTAGCAGCAGCAGCAGCAGCAGCAGCAGTAGCAGCAGTAGTGGCAGCTCGGGCAGCGCCCAAGAGAATGCAGTGGAGTTGAGACAGCAGCAGCAGCAGCAGTGAGAGAGAGAAGCAGCAGCAGCGGCGACGAGCGGCGCTGCTGCTGCTGCTGCTGCGCGCGTGCAGCTGGAGTGTCTGTACAGCTGCGCGTTTTGTTTGCTGCTGCTTCTGCTGCTGCTGCTGCTGCTGCTTTTGCTGCTGCTTTTGCTGCTGCAGGAATACCAAAGAGAATTCATGTTTTCCGAACTCAGCGAACAAGAAACTGGAGATGTCACAATGCAAGAAGCAGAGGCCCCCAAGGCCTAATGGGGGGGCCCCCAGGGCCCCCGGGCCAAAGAGGGGGGCCCCCGGGGCCCCCAAGCCCTCATGGGGGGCCCCCCACCCGGGGGCCCCCCATGAGCAGCAGCTGGGGCCCCAGTTGCTGCTGCGGGGGCCCCCAAAGCTGCAGCAGTTGCTGCTGCGTGCATGCGCCCTTTGCTGCTGCTGTCTTTGCGGCGGGCTTTGCCTGCTACTGCATGCATGCTTCCTGGCGCTGCGGCAGCTGCTGCGCTGCAGCTGCTGCTGCGCTGCAGCTGCTGCTGCGCTGCAGCTGCTGCTGCGCTGCAGCAGCTGCTGCTGCGCTGCAGCAGTGGCTGCTGCTTTGCGGCGCCCCAACTCCCCTGCAGCTCCGCTTGACGCCCCAACTGTCCCGCAGATTTTTATTTATGTTTAAAGATTGGCAAAATATATAAATATTTAATAAAGACAAAATATATAAATTTTAAATGTAGACAAAATATATGAATATTTAATATATATATATATATATATATATATATATATATATATATATATATATATATATATATATATATATATATATATAAAGTATATAAATATTTAATAAAGACAAAATATATAGATTTTAAATGTAGACAAAATATATGAATATTTAATATATATATATATATACAGTATATAAATATTTAATAAAGACAAAATATATAAATGTTAAATGTAGACAAAATATATGAATATTTAATATATATATATATATAGAGTATATAAATATTTAATAAAGACAAAATATATAAATGTTAAATGTAGACAAAATATGTGAACATTTAATATAGACAAAATATGCAAATATTAAATCTGGACAAAGTATATAAATATTAAATACAGACAAAATATATAAATATGTAGTTCTTTGTGAGGACCAAATGCACATAGTCACAATACATACATATGTATTCATTTATATATGTACATACATATATATATGTATAATCAATATATATATATATACATATATATATGTATATATATATATATATATATATATATATATTTGTGTAGATCTGTATGTGTAGATATGCATACATGTGTACATATATATATACATATATATGTATATATGTGTACATAAATATTTATGTTTTCGTTTTGTTTAGGGTTTAGGGAGGGTTTAGTGAGGGTTTAGGGTTTAGTGAGGGTTTAGGGTTTTGTGGGTGTCTGGGAGTACCGGGAGTGGCGCAGGCTCTTCGCTCTCAGCGGCTTTCTTTCATTTCAATTAAACTAAATTAAATTAAATTAAATTAAATTAAATTAAATTAAACTAAATTAAATTAATTTAAATCGAATTAAATTAAATTTGTTTTATTTTCTTTTGTTTTATTTTTTTTCCCCCTTCCTTTGTGCTCTCTGCTGCCTCTGTTGTTTCCTGAATGCCTCATTCAGATTTCATTGGCTGCAGTTGCTGCCTCGTGCAGCTGCAGCGTCAAATAAAGCAAAACAAAATTAAAAAGCAAAATAAAAGATTAAAATTAATTAAAATATTTATTTTATTGAGTAAAATCGCAGCAACTGGGAAAAGAGCCGCAGAAATAGAACCTTTGGAGCTGCAGCAGCACACACAACTTAGCTCTGAGGCAAAACAGCTACTGCTGCTACTGCTGCTGCTGCTGCTGCTGCTGCTGCTGTACTGCCCGTAAAAACTCCAACAAAGTGCTCGCTGCGCAGCTTCTTGCATGCAGTCAACGGCTGCTGCTGCTGCTGCTGCAGCAGCAGCAGCTGCTGCTGCTGCTGCGGATTTGCTGCTGCTGGTCTGCTAAGCTACTGGCGATGCGTGCCAGGTTTAGTTGGGCCAATTCTTTCACTGATGAATTCATAATTATAAATTAAAAAAATAAAAAGCGAAATAAATAAAATAGAAAACAAATAAAATATAACAACGAGAATAACAGCCCAGGGAAATGGAAACACAACAACCCCACCAGTGCGGGCCTCAGCAAGGGGTCTTTTGGTGACCCTGCAGCAGCAGCAGCAGCAGCAGCAGCTGCAGCAGCTGCATCGACTCCTTTTTCTTTTCTGTCTAGATCTTTTAAATTTGAAAAAAATGAATTAAAAGTAAAAACTTATAAGACAATAGCAGGGGCCCCCTTTCAGGCCAGCTTTCTTGGGGGGCCCCCAGCAGCAGCAGACAAAAAGCGCGTAGCGCTGGGGCCCCCTGCTGCTGCTGCTGCTGCTGCTGCTGCCGCAGCAAATCCCTCTGCACAAGAGCAGCTGGCTGCTGCTGTGGACTACCAGAGAGGCGACCGCCGCAGCAGCGGCTGCTGCAGCAAAGGGCACACACCTGCAGCAGCAGCAGCAGCAGCAGCAGCAGCAGCAGCAGAACTTACCAAACTAAAATGCCAAGGCTCGTCTAGGGGCATGCAGTCATGCTTAGCGAGGAGCCTCATTCAAGGCCCTATGAGTTTTTAACGGCAGCAGCTCCCAGCAGCAGCAGCAGCAGCAGCAGCAGCGGCAACTGCGAAGCGCGCAGCGATGAACGCCGCAGCAGCAAGGGCCTGCAGCACAGCCGCAGGCGCAGCAGCAGCAGGCGCAGCAGCAGCAGCAGCAGCAGCAGCCGTGTCACAATGGAGGGTAGCCCTCGCAAGGGCTCTCCTCTGCTGCGGCTGCCGAGGCGTGGGAAGCGCAGCAAACGCAGCAGCAGCAGCAGCAGCAGCAGCAGCGAAGGAGACACTACCGACAGCAGCAGCAGCAGCTGCAGCAGCAGCCCAGCCCGCAAACTTCAAAGCAGCACCAATCCCACGCGAGGGGCCCCCAGAAGCAAAAGGGGGGCCCCTGCTGCTGCAGGGGGGCCCCCCAAGAAGGCTGCAGCAGGTGGGGGCCCCCCCCAGCTGCTTCGAGGGGCCCCCAGCGTGTCTGCTGCAGCAGCAAGATTTGAGTGCTTCTTTTATGAGCCCCTAGCAGCAGGAGCGAAGGCGGTGGTTGCTGCTGCTGCTGCTGCACCTGCTGCTGCGCTGCAGCTGGCAGCAGCAGCTGCTGCGCCCTTCGTCTCAGGCCTGCTGCAGCAAGAAGCAGCAGCAGCAGCAGAACTCGGGGAGGCCGTTGCTGCGCTGCCGTTGGCTGAAGCTCTGGAGACGTGCTTTTGTGGCACAGCAACAGCAACAGCAGCAGCAGCAGCAGCAGCAACTGCAACAGCAGCAGCAGCAGCAGCAGAAGACGATGAGTCGCCGTCTGCTGCTGGCGAAGCACCTTCGCTAGAGCGTTTGGCGGACTTGCTGCTGCTGCTGTCGGCAGCAGACTGCAGCCAGCAGCGTCAGGGGTGGGAGAACATCCGCGAAGCAGTTGCTGCTGCAGCAGCAGCAGCAGCAGCTGCTGCTGCTGCTGCTGCTGCGCCTGAAGCAGCAGCGCCCCCGGGGGCCTGGCGGGTCGTTTCTGCTGCTCTCGGGCTTTGCATGCAGCGCGGAGGTCTTGGGGGGAAGTACGCAGCCATAGCCTACTTAAGGTTTCTGGGGGTAAGTACTAGCAGCAGCAGCAGCAGCAGCAGCAGCAGCAGCAGCCGCAGCAGCAGCAGCAACAGCAGCCGCAGCAGCAGCAGCACTGGCGTAAGTGCCTGGTGAGTGGTGGGTGCTGCTGGCATTCGCACAACTAGCTAGGCAGTGACGCAGCTAGCGAGCCAAGGGTGTGGCTAGCTGGCTTGGCTAGCTAGCTGCGGCTTGGCTGGCTGGCTGCAGCTAGGCTAGCTAGCTGCGGCTTGGCTAGCTGGCTGCAGCTAGGCTAGCTAGCTGCGGCTTGGCTAGCTGGTTGCAGCTAGGCTAGCTAGCTGCGGCTTGGCTAGCTGCCAGGGTGTGGCTAGCTGGGGAGTTGCTTGGCCAGCTAGCGCATGGCTTCGCTACCTGCTATGGCTTGGCTAGCTGGGTGCTTTTGTGTACTTGCAGCTGCAAATTAATGACCGGCAAGAGGCGCAGCAGCCTGAGCTCGAGGGGCATCTGCTGCAGCTGGTGCTGCGGCAGCTGCAGCAACCTCTGCAGGGGAGGGCCATTCCTTGGCAGCAGCAGCTGCAGCAGCAGCTGCCGCAGCAGCAGCAGCTGCAGCAGCAGCAGCAGCTGGAACAGCAGCAGCAGCTGCAGCAGGCGGAGCGGGTGCGGCTGGCTGGCTGGCTGCAGCAGCAAGAGCCCCCTTCCCTTGCGGCGATTGTGTCGCTGCATCTGGCTTTGCTGCTGCAGCAGCTGCAGCAGCAAAGTCTGTCTTGCAGCAGCAACAGAGAGGCCCTTCGGCTGCTGCTGCGGCATGCAATGGAATTCATGGGAAAGACTCAGGGGTTCACAAGGCAGGCGCAAGCTCTAAACCCTAAACCCTAAACCCTAAACCCTAAACCCTAAACCCTAAGGCTTGCCTTCGACTGCTAAGCCCTAGACCCGCGGCAGCTGCTGCTGCATCTGCTCTGGCCCTTCTTTTGCCTACAGGGAGGTTCTGCTGCTGCTGCCGCTGCTGCTGCTGCTTCGCGTCAAGGAGCTGCGTACGAGGCACTTGCAGCAGCAGCAGCAGCAGCAACAACAGCAACCGATGCAGCAGCAGCAGCAGCAGCAGCTGACTCCAGAGGCAACCGTACTAGCTGAGCCAGCTTCTGCAGCAGAAGAACAATGGCAACACGAGCTGCCCATGCCCCAGCATGAGCAGCAGCAGCAACAGCAGCAGCAGCAGCAGCAGCAGCCTCTATTTCTGCTGCCCCTCTACCAAGGAGGACCTAATGTAGATTGCCTTGCTGCAGCAGCAAGCGATGTGCTGCTGTCAGTGCTGCCGCGGCTCCTCCAAGAGCACCAGCAGCAGCAGCTTGACGCAAGTGCAGCAGCAGCAGATGGAGCAGCAGCAGCTGCTGCATCATCTTATGGGGCCAGCGAGCAGCGGCAGCAGCAACAGCAGCAGCAGCGGCTTGTGAACTTCGTGCTGCAGGTTGTTGGAGGCTGCGGAGAGCTGCTGCTGCCCGAGCTGCTGCTGCACCCCTTGCTGCTGCTGCAGGCCCGCCTGGCTGACCTGAAGGACCTCAGGGCAGCAGCAGCAGCAGCTGCTGCTGCTGACATGGATCCAGAAGAAGAGGCACTATATGGAGTCGCAGACAGCACTGAATCTGCCTCAGCAGCAGCAGCAGCAGCTGCTGCTGCTGCTCCGAGTGCAGCAGAAATGAAGAGACTGTCGGAGCTGCAGCAGCAGCGCGAGTTGGCTGCAGATCCACTTGTGGCGTTTCTGGGGAGCTTCTGTTTTGGCTGCCTGCCGAGCAGCACAGCAGCAGCAGCAGCAGCAGCAGCAACTTGCTGCGCCATCATCAGGGGCTGCGTTTTGGAGGAGGCGCTGCAGCTGAAGAGCAGCAGCTGCAGCCTGCTGGACAAACTTGAGCGGGAGCACCAGCACCTGCAGCAGCAGGAACAGCAGCAGCAGCAGCAGGAACAGCAGCAGCAGCAGCAGGAACAGCAGCAGCAGCAGCAGCAGCAAGAGCAGCAGCAGCAAGAGCAGCAGCAGCAGCAGCAGGGAAGGCGCCGCAGAGTGCTCGAGAGGTTTTTGCGTTTCATTCTCATTCCTTTGCTGCGAGCTTCCCGCTTGGGCCAGCGCCTGCTGGGGGTGGAGTTGCTGCTGCAGCTGCTGCATGCATCTGCTGCTGCCAGCAGCAGCAGCAGCAGCAGCAGCAGCAGCAGGCTTGACAAAGGGAACGACGATAATGCTGCTGAAAGAGGCGCTCTGCTGCTGGAGCCTTTGCTCGAGGACAAGAGAGAGAGCGGAGGCGTGCTGCTGCTGCTGCAGCTGCTGCTGCCGTTTGCTGCTGCACTTGAAGACAGGCAGCCTTTGCTTCGTGCCAGGGCCATTGAGGCGCTGCCTTCTGTTTGCGGCGTCTTGCTGCGTGCTGCAGCAGCTACGCAGGCAGCAGCAGCAGCAGCAGCAGCAGGATCGGCGGCAGCAGAAGCCCGGACACTGCAGCACCGGAAGGCGCAGCAGCAGCAGCTGCTGCTGCTGCTGCTGCGGCCCTCTTTGTTAGAAGGGCTCACCGGCAGCTGCTTGGAACACAGCAAAACTGTTGTGCGGAGAGGCGCTTTGCTGGCGCTGCAGCAGCTGCTGCCGCTGCTGCTGCAGCATTTGCTGCTGCTGCAGCAGCTGCCGGTGCACCCGGGGCCTCTTCCCGCTCTCTGTGGAGAGTCTCCTGAGGAGGAGAGCGAGGACGAGGCAGCAGCAGCAGCAGCAGCAGCAACTGCAGCAGCAGCAGCAGCAGAAAAATCCATTGCTGCTGCTGCAGGCCATGAAGGCTGGGGACTCTTTTTGCTGCTGAACTGGAGAAAGGCAGCAGAGAGGTGTAAAGACAGCTCAGTGCTGGTGAGGAGGCAGGCGATCAGCGCGCTGCACACATTTGCTGCTACCGCAGTACATAAGCTGCAGCAGCAGCAGCAGCAGCAGCAGCAGCAGCAGCAGCAGCAACTGCAGCAGCGGCAGCAGCAACTGCCGCAGGCGGATGACGTGCTGCTGCTGCGCAGGGACCAGCAGCAACCTGAGCAGCACGAGGGCCAGCAACAGCAGCACCAAGAGCTGCAGCTGCTGCCGGCAGTGCAGCAAACAGATGGTGCTGCTGCAGCTGCAGAAGAAGCCACCGCTGCTGCTGCTGCACTAGTCCGCAGCATCTGCAGCACGTGGAGGGACTTCGTTTTGCGTGCAGCAACAGCAGCAGACGAGGAGCCAATGGTGAGAGAAAAGGCTTCTGAACTGGCGCAGAAGCTGCTGCAGTGCGACAGCAGCAGCAGCAGTAGCAGCGCAGCAGCAGCAGCAGCGGAAGCAGCAGCAGACTTGGTCATTAGCGGCGCAACTGACGAGCACTTTGAAAGCTTGAGGCGCTTCTTCGCAGGCTGCTGCAGCAAGCGGTGAGTCTTGCTGCTTGGAGGCACTTCGCTGCTGCTGGGTTTAGGGTTTAGGGTTTAGGGTTTAGGGTTTAGGGTTTAGGGTTTAGGGTTTAGGGTTTAGGGTTTGTATTTAGGGTTTAGGGTTTAGGGTTTAGGGTTTAGGGTTTAGGGTTTAGGGTTTAGGGTTTAGGGTAGGGTTTAGGGTTTAGGGTTTAGGGTTTAGGGTTTAGGGTTTAGGGGCTCGGTTTGCCCCGCTTCAAGGTGCTCTAGGGTTTAGGGTTTAGGGTTTAGGGTTTAGGGTTTAGGGTTTAGCAGTGGTCAGCTTAGGGTTTAGGGTTTAGGGTTTAGGGTTTAGGGTTTAGGGTTTAGGGTTTAGGGTTTGCGGTTTAGGGTTTAGGGTTTAGGGTTTAGGGTTTAGGGTTTAGGGTTTAGGGTTTAGGGTTTAGGGTTTTGTTTTAGGGTTTAGGGTTTAGGGTTTAGGGTTTAGGGTTTAGGGTTTAGGGTTTAGGGTTTAGGGTTTAGGATTTAGGGTTTAGGGTTTAGGGTTTAGGGTTTAGGGTTTAGGGTTTAGGGTTTAGGGTTTAGGGTTTAGGATTTAGGGTTTAGGGCTGTGGTTTCTACAGAAATGGAATGGCAGCAGAACGGCTCAGGGAATGCGTCCGCAGCGTAGCAGCGCCAGGGGTTGCAGTGAGGAGGCTGCTGGAGTTGCAGGTGGGGCATTCAAACTGTTGCTGCTGCTGCAGAGCTGCTGCTGCTGCTGCTGCAGAGCTGCTGCTGCTGGAGAGCTGCTGCTGCTGCTACTGAGCTGCTGCTGCTGCTGCTGCCGGAGAGCTGCTGCCTTTGCTGCTGGAGAGCTGCTGCTACTACAAACAAACGGCTGCTGTAGCTGCGGGGCTGCTGCTCCTGCTGCAGAGCTGCTGCTGCTGCTGCTGCAGAGCTGCTGCTGCTGGTGGTGTGCTGCTGCTGCTGCAGCGGAGTAGCTGTGTCACGCTTTGCTGGGTAGGCGTTATGTGTCTTACTACCTCAGGGCTTCTTTGACTGGGCAAATCAAACTGCAGCAGCGGCGAATGAGCCTTCAAGCAGCCGCAGCAGCAGCAGCAGCAGCAGCAGCAGCAGCAGAATGTGTGGGGCCTCTGAAAGCCAGACAGCGGAGGCTGCGGAGGCGGCCGTTGCGGCGTGGCGTAAAGTTGCTGCAGATGTGCAGCAGCAGCAGGAGCAGCAGCAGCAGCAGGAGCAGCAGCAGCAGCAGGAGCACGAAAGCCGGCTGGACTCCCAACTGCAGCAAATGCAAGGCCAGCAACAGCGAGAGCCGCAGCAAGAGCAGCAGCAAGGACAGCAGCTGCAGCAAGAGCAGCAGCAGCAGAAGCAGCAAGAGCAAAAGGACCAGCTATTCGGCACAAAGTCAATGTTGCTGCTTGAACTGGTTGAATCTGCTGCTGGCTCTGCGTCGGATGATTCTCGTGCTGCTGCTGCTGCAGAGGTGTTGCTGCTGCTGCAGCAGCAGCTGCTGCCGGTTGACTTTGTTGCTCCCGCTGTACGTACTCTGCTGGCGCTCTCAAAAGGGCTCGTGTATCTGCCGGAGACCTCAACATTTGCTGCTCCTCCGACACAGCAGCAGCAGCAGCAGCAGCAGCAGCAGCAGCAGCAGCAGCAGCAGCAGCAACCGGGGGGCAGCTGGACACAAGCGCTGCTGCAGTGCACGCGAGAAGGCCTGCAGCGGGAGCTGAAGAAGATGATATGTCGGGCTGGAGCGTCTCTGCAGCTACGTGCAGCAGCAGCAGCAGCAACACCAAGAGCAGCAGCAGCAGCAGCAGCAGCAGCAAACGGCACTTTAGTAGCAGTATATGCCCCGGCAGCAGCCGCACAAGAACCAGCAAAGCTCCTTGATGATGACGAGCGCTTTTGCAGGTGCGAGCTGCTGCTGCTGCTGCTGCTGCATTAGCTGCATGCATTATTTACACATGGC